TCATCCTTTTCCCCCCCTGAAATAGAGACGAAAATCTCCTATGCCACAATTTTAAGTATGATTGAGAAGGGTTCACCTTTCCATTTTCAAGTGGCTTAATAATATGAAATCGTCAAAACAACTTATATCTTCAGAGACAGCACATGATTTATTGAGCTGATTACCATTTATCCTGTCTATCCATGGCTGAACAGGAAGATGAACTTTTCAGAACAGAGCAAGACTTTTCCATAGATAAATGTTTCAGCTCTAGTGCAACTATTTATTTTCCCCACAGAGAAGAGAAAGTACGATATTTACTCTCATAGTCTCTCCTTTTTTTTTTTTGCACCACATGCCTTTTTCTCCCCTAATACAACAACACTTTTCTTAATCAGAGGTCACTTACCTACCAATTTAAACCATCAAAGAACCTAATTTTAAAATGGTCTTTAAGCACCAGAAGAGAGGTCTTTAGGTTCATACATCAAAACATATACTACAGTTTTTTTTAAGAGCAGAGCCTTCAAGCATTTACCCAGAGGCTAAACGCTTTGTCTATAATTTGAGGGCACCAAATGATCGCAAACCCTTCATTAGGGAACAGAACGTTCCTCCAATATATGGGTCTGGCAAGAAAGCCCTGATCTGAGAGAAAAAGGAGCAAACAATTAGCAGGACATTTACTTTGCTAGACACTAGGCTACGAGTTTCACACATCCTCTAATGGAATCCTGACCAAATAAGCAAAGATGTGAGTGTAGGCATCTCTCCAGGAGGAAGTAACAAAAGAGCTAGAATTCAAAATCAAGATGGTCAGATGTTCTTTTCCCTGTATCAAACCAAATACTTCACTGTTAGATTAAAAGCTACAGTGGCCATGAAGGTCCCCTCCCTTAGTCTCCTCATCTGTAAGATCGTTACCCTTTGTTCCACGATTCCATGTAATGCTGAATGCTGATAATAATGATCCTCAGTCATTAAGGTAAAACCATTACCAGTATCTATCTAAACCGGTAAGGAATTATATAATGCATGTTTTTCATCACCGTATCTCTCCTGCCAGGTAAGTATCATACTGCATATCATACTGCATGTTCTAGAAAAAACTTAAAACCCCTTTGGATTGAAAGGAATAAGCTTCCTCCAGCTGGAAAATGAATCTCTGGGGATTAGCTCATCCCTTCATACAATGGCACTGAAATGAGCTATGATTTCTTTTTTTCCCCCACTAGGAACAAGAGGAAGGAAGGAGGAAATCTTACTTTGTGGCTTCATTATTTTCTTGTGGCAGGAATTTCCACAGAACATACATAATAAAATACACATACTCATAACGAAAGATTCCGGACTGATTTTAGTTTTAAATCCTCAATCATTTTGGACTATTCAAAACCTTTGTTCTCCATCCATTTAAAATGTTCATCGAATGCCTACCCATTCATGACACTGTGGCGGACATAAAAAGATGAATAAGAGTAGCTATCATACTGAATACATGCATCAAATCTTAAGGAGTGATAGAATGGCCAGGGGATTGTATTTCCAATGAAAGGAATGCTTATAAATAAACTCTGTTTTATATCTAGTTTGGTGAAGGGAGATTGAAAACATATGCAGATTACACACCGATTTCACTAAAATATTGTATCCACCCAACAATTAAAATCGGAGGATTGACTCTTCACAGCTCATCAACCAGAGATGTTCATTGATATTCCGATATTGTTTCTTACCATAAGGCTCCACAAGCTCCAGCAGAGTTTTATGCAATGTGCTTACACAGTTGCATAATTTTATGCTGACAAGACAGTGGATCAAAATTCAGAGGAATAATATAATGCATACACCACTAGCAGATGCTGGGATCTGGTACGGCTAGGCTTTCTTCTTCAAAACAAGGATCAGTTGTCACAAGGAGACACACACTGAAGTGTGTTCTCTATGAACTCCAAACTGAGGCCAAAAGGAGGGAACGCTCTGTGGCACACTAACTGGTTCATGATGGGAGTAGCTACATAGGTCGGGGGTGGCTGGGGTTGGGTTTTCAGTATGTTGATTCTCTGAGTTATTTTAAACGCCCAGTTAATAATATTTCTTTAACTCTCTTTTGTATTTTTTCATGTTCAGTGCAAGTATGCAGTTGCTGACTTATTTTTAAACTCCACCCTGTGAAAACTAGTGAGTTCGAGCCGGTAGCAATAACATTTAAACAGCTTTGACTCCCTGCCATACGTGCCTGGGAAATGCGGAATCCTCTGTTACAGTCGTCACCATGCCGGAGATCGGTGACAATCTACGTTTCGATTATATTTGCTATGGATCCACCAACCCTCTAAAATGCAAGAGACCCCTTCTGTTTATAAAGATTATTATTTGATCAAAGGCCCAGTGAGTGAAACCATGGCAAAATATTCACAACTTCCCCAATAACCACAAAGAGATTATTAAATCCATATTGATTTTCAAATCCAGTTTCCATAAAACCAGATTCCTGATCCCAATCATACAGACTTATTCCAGTTTTTAATACTCCTTTACGTCAAGGTATTAAACATAACAGCTTTCAGGGCAGGCCTTTTTATTTAAGGGGTATAGCTAGTTAGTATCGCTTCTGAGAGATGTTAACAATTGCCCAACAGTTAGCAAGCATTCCCCTCATGTTACCAGGTTGCACTCTTGTGCAATCTAAACATAGGACTGGAAGTCCTTGGAAGAGAATTACCGGTGCAGGGAAATTGATAATTGAACAAAAAACTAAAAACGGTGGGTGGATACAACCAAAAAACTCAAGGTCTCACTTCCCTAGTTAATAATCACTACTACCTATTAAGCAATATGGTGTTTCGGCCTCTGAATTAGCCACTTTCCCATTGAATCTTTTATAACTGAGAAAAGCTACATTTAAGAGAATAGGCTTTGGATTCCAAAAGCGGGAAGCCCCCCTCTCTCCCTTCACTCCTGCTTCAACCCCATACAATCATGTGATCTTGGGGGCTTAATTAAACTCCCTCTGAACCTCCCATTCCTCAACTGTAGAATCAGAGGGTTATTATTTCTCCTGACTGCATGAAATGTAAACCTCCTTCAAAGGCACTTTGTGCCTTGCCACTAGAGATACTCACAGCAAACCTAAAGGAAACGTTCCTGCGATTTGAGCCTAAATACTTGTACGGTGATATCTATTTAAAACATTAAGTTGGATTCTCACCGCAGGAGATTTATCTTACTCATCTTTGCATCCCCCGGAGCCAGCATAAAACCTAACACGATATACACGACTGCTGATGACGTGGATCACGGGACCCACAACCACGTTCATGTCATAGCCATTTCTGAGCCTTACTGCCTTTTCTTCGGAAGTAGCAACCCTGTCCCCTCTTCATCTCCACCACAGACCCTCCTCCCCTGGATTCCTGCAGCCATCTCCTAAGTGAGGGTGCAGTATCTAGGTTGGCTTTTCTCCAGTCTTTTATTTTTCTTTTTCCAGGTAGAGTGATCCTTCCCAAGTATGAGTGGACCTCACCATACTTTGAAGACCTCCCTAACCGTAAAGTCCCTAGCCAGGTCTACAAAGATCTCCACGGTCTGGCTCCTGCCCAGCAACCCCAACGCTGTTTTATTTCAAAGGACCTACCTTCTAGCTCATTCTCCGTCTGCCAGTCACACTGCTTTTCTTTCAATCCTTCAAATATCGGAAGCTCTCTTCCTTTGCCATCGCTCTGCCTGACGTGTTCTGTCTGCCAACCTTCTGCCCCGGTGCTGCTTATTCTCTCACCCTTCGTACCTCACTTTAATTGTCAGCCAAGCCTCTCCTGACCTTCCTGCGTCCTTACAGAACCATGCAGGAGAGCCTTCAGAGAATTTATCAATTTCTAGTTATGTGCTTAATGACTGCCTGTGCATCTTCCCAACTACACTGTAGGCCCTGCAAGGGGAAGCCTTTGTTTTCACTCCCCAGGTGACTTGAGTATTCAAAATTTTGTGGAGTGCGTGATTTTTGGAAACATTAAAATTCCAAGAGAACACTCAAGGTCCAGCCCTGTGGTGCCCCGACCTGATTTGGAGAAACACCACCCTCGAAGAATAGGCGCAGAGCACTTAATGACGTATAAAGTCAAAATAAATAACGAGGACAGCTGGAAGAAGATGCAAAATTTATTCTTCTTCCGAGTTTGAAAAATATTTTCTCCCAGACTTAGAGCCTCATTTCTTTCCAGTTGTAAGCATATGCTAATTTCATCGTAAGCCACTTTCTCTTCCTGGACCAAAGGCTAGGAGGGAGCTTTGCAGGAGAAATTGAAAGACGGCACAACATGGCATGTGTCCATGAAATACAATCATCCACACATCTAAAGGGCTTTTAAGGCATGATGGCTTAATCAGAATATTTTTAGTACAAGTTCTAAAATCTTAACAAATGAATATCACACCATCTGCAGTGAATGCCTTGAGTGGCCAAGAAGCTGTGCTACCATTTATTTTAAGAAGAAACAAATTGACTTAAGGGAACCAGAGCTGGGTTCCACAGCCCCTTCATTAGATGGTTAATATTAAGTTGAGTGGGAAGGTCAGTGCTGACTTTTCTATGTGCAGTTTTGGAATTAGAGGTTAGCTGTGCTACTGCAGAATAGTAGGCAGGCGAGAGGCTGGAACTTCATGCTAAAAATGTGAAGGAAAAAACGTGGAGAGATCTGATAATATTAACAGCAGAAAATGCACCTAGACACGCAAGGAGACCATCTATGGCTGGGTTGCAGGAAGTTAAGCAGCGTGGTTGGTAGTAAAACACCTTGGATGGATCCCCGCCGGGGCAGCTCCCGCTGCAGCCCGGGCTCAGCCAGTCCCGCAGGCGCGCGAGCACCGGCTTCTCCCTCCTGCAGAGTCAAGTTAGGGAAACGCGGAGCCCCAGAGAGCCTGGTGCAGAGCAAAGAGATGACACTTTGGGCCCTGGAAACCTCGCGGGGTCTTTATTCCATCGTCCCCTGTCGGCCCCGTAGCAAATTATATTAACCGCTCACCTGGGAAGAGACCACAGCCAGCGAGGCTGCGCGAGGCAAGGCCGGGCCTCCCGGGCTCTGCAGGGCGCTTCCCCGCACGTCCAGCACCGCCTGGCCCGGGCGCACCTTCGCCCGAATTTTCTCTCCATTTAGAGTACAACCCGGCCCTTCCACCATCTCCCGAGCCGCACTGAGGGCCGCTGGGCGCAGGAGAAGGCAGCTCCGCAACCCAATCCCCGCGCAGGCACTGGGCGCCCAGAGGACGTTCAAATCTCCCGCGCATCCGGCCCCGCCTCGGCTGCCTGCCCCCGCCCCGCCCAGGCCCCGCCCACTGAGGTCGGCCTGGCCCCGCTCAGGCCACGCCCACTGAGGTCCGCCTGGCCCTTCCCAGTTCAGACCCGTCGGGCCCCGCCTAATGAGGTCCGTTGGGCCCTGGCCCGACCCCGCCCACTGAGGTCGGCCTGGCCCCGCCCCAACTCAGGCCCCGTGTGGCTCCACCCAGGCCCCGCCCACTGAGGTCCGCCTGGCCCCGCCCAGCTCAGGCCCGTCGGCCCCCACCCAGGGCCCGCCCACTGAGGTCCGCTGGCCCACCCACCCCGCCCACTGAGGTCCGCTGGCCCCACCCAGGCCCCGCCCACTGAGGTCCGCCTGGCCCCGCCCAGCTCAGGCCCGTCGGCCCCCACCCAGGCCCCGCCCACTGAGGTCCGCTGGCCCCACCCAGGCCCCGCCCACTGCGGTCGGCCTGGCCCCGCCCCGCCCCACCCAGAGTGCGTGGAGCCCACCCAGCCCGGGTAAACCATAAGAGCCCAAGCAACTGGGACCTCAGAAACTCCAACCTTTCTGTTTGGAGGGTTCGCTCTTGCCCTTGAACTACTCAGTAAACGTCCATTTTGCGATCTTTTCCTCTTACTGGGCCCTAAAATTCAAGGTGGCAGTAGCTGTCTTGCAGGCTTCGGGTTCTGTCTGCACCGTTCAGGTGTGGGTCAGGAGGAGAGAGGCTCAGAGGGGGTTTTCAGAACAAGCAGCTTATATATTTGCTCCTACAGAGTTAGCATATTTTCGAAAACGTGGCTTTATATGCCAAATACCCTTGTGTCTATATTAAAAACCCTTCCATTTTTCAGATAGCTGAGCTAAGTGAGCTCTACCCAAATTGGTCAGGCCTTCTCTCTTGGGATGCCCCAGATGGAGGCTATTTGAACCTGCTCTGTAAAAGGGCTCCACACATATAGGAAGGCAATGCATAGCTTTTCAAACTTACACAGAGCTGCATACATATAAATACATTAAGCTAAGGACTCCATACAATTGTGTAAATAATAAAAAAAAATCTAATCTTTTTGGAAGATTAAAATATAGCACATGAAAACAGAATGTTAATTTCTCTGTGATTTAATCAGCCTGTCACGGTGCTGTCGTTAAGCCAGAAGAATATACATGCGAGAGCCTTGGATTCAAACGTTTAAGAAGCATTAAATCTTTCTTTGTGGAGAGCGATTAGTGATCAGGTGAGCTGGATCATGTTCAGGGTTCTTTGTACTTTACTGCCTTATTTAATTGTTGTTCACCCTTCTTGGCCAAATTACTAACTAGAAGAATCCTGTTCGTTGCAGCCCAAATTCTGTCACCATCTCGGCCCTTCGATGGAGGGAAGTGCTATCCACCTGATTTGCTTCTACCTTTGTGTTAATTACTTATTGCCACCTAGTCAGTTATCCCACTTATTATTTCAGAGTTTTTGCAGGTCAGAAATTTGACAGCTGTCTGGCCTGGGTGCGTCAGCATTTCCCAAGCAGTTGCAGCGAGGATGTTGGCCAGAGCTGCAGTGATGCAAAGGCTAGATTTTAGTTGGAAGATCCACTTCTGAGGCAGCTCACTTGCACAGCTGTTGACAGGAGGTCTTGGTTTCCCATCCTTTGGATCTCTCTGCAGGGTCAGGGTCGCTTGCCTGCTCCCCTGAAGGGGCAGCTGAGTTCTCCAGGAGGTGTGATCTAAAAGCAAAGCAAGGAGAGAGCTATACCGATCTTCATTCCCTAGTCTCTGAGGTGACACATCCATACCGTCGCTAATTCCATTGTTAGAATCCAGTCTATCAGTAGAGCCCATGGGGGGGGGGGGTTAGGAGGTGGGGAATTGAAGCTTTATCTCTTGAAAGTTAGAGTATGAAATAATGTGTGAACCTATTTTAAAGCCCTCACAATCTTCATGGATCGGAATGATTCAGCACGGACTCCTCCTTTCTCTGCAGGTTGCCCTGTGTGCACATTAGGATCAAATATACTCTTTAATTAGAATCGGGCTTAGCGTTGCCCACAGAGCTCAGGACGAGTGGGGAGTGACGTGAAGACACTAAGACACTTCCCTCGTGTGCCCGGGAGAGCTAAGCCGGAGTTTGTCCATGTGGGACTGCCTTTGAGTCTTGATACTTCTTGTTGTTATCCTTCCTTGCACCCAACCAAGAGGCAAATTGCATGCACCATGTGTCTGCAGTGCCTTTAAAGAGTCGCCTCACCATTGTGGGCAAGCCTGCCTGGGTGCAGACTCTTGGAGCTCTTCTCTCAGACTATTTCGGAAACCTCCGAACTGCCTTCGGCCCTCACTTTGGCTTTCACACTCATCAGAGTCATCTTCTGAAGCATGATGGATTGATTCACTGATGACTTTAGACAAGTCACTTGTTTTCTCTAAAACTCCCTTTCTTCGTATGTAAAATAAAACATATTTTTTCCTGCAAAGCTCCACATGATTATTCTAATTCCCAGATAACATATGTGAAAGCCCATCGAGAACGATAAAACACCCTATGAATTCAAGAAATCAAACTAAATTCTGTTTGCTGCACTTAGAATATCTTCTGTATTTTGTTTCTTGGCTCAGGCTGTCATCCTTACCTTTTTTCTTTTTAATTCCTCTTCAACCGAGCTTACTGAAATTCTCCCACCTTTAAATTCTCGTTGAATGCATATCCCTCCCGCTGCCCCGCCCCCCCCCAAAAAAAAGCCTCCCAGGTACAGTCAGAATGAATCTCTTTTCTTCTGAAGTTGGCTTTACAAAACCTACCTTGAGTTCGACTTAATGGGGTGCAGACCGGTCTCCTACTGGATTCATTCCTTGAAGACAGTCGAGTGAGTGTCCTGTACATAATAAACATTCAATGAATATTTGTTGAATTCCACTGTGATTACTAACTTACAAATGAAAATACTGGGACATTCTGACCCCCAATACCTTTTCTTTTATCTTTAGTGTCATTCTTATGAATTGAAATTTTATGTTCTCAGAGGTCTTGCTAAAATAAATATTAACAAAAACAGGTAATACATTAAGTTACCCTATGGTATACTTTCTTTATTAGGTCAACAAGCCAAGAATCTTGATGTATCCTTGAGGAAATCATATCAACCACACGTACAGTCATTTGTGTACATTCATGGATATGTATTTATCTTAACAATGACCCTGTGTGATAGGATAGATAATATTAGGGACTTATAGATAGAGAAATTGAGTTTCAAACCAGTGGTTATTTTCCACGATCACATGTAGGGACCAAGAAAGCTACAGATATGAAACCCAAATTTTCCGACTCTGAGACCAGTATTCTTTTCACTAACACCACAGGTAAGTGTAGATGAAATAACAATGTCTAAAACATTGGAAAAGATAGCTTTCTCCAGGACCTCAGGTCTCTAATATATGGCACCTAGGTACGTCGTAGCACTAGCGGAAAACAGGTTGGAAAGGGTACAAAATCACTCAAAGGAGTTGGATGGGAGTTAAAAAATAAACATGAATTTTACTTCCAAAGATTTTCATTAATAAAAATGTACTTAATGCTTGCTCCGTGTGAGGCCCTGAATCAGGCTGTAGGGTACGAAGGGTTGTAAGGAAGCCTTTACACACACAAAATTACAGTGTAGTTAGAGACGCTGACATTAGAAGATACAAAAGGAAAAGAGAGCTCATGTTACGTACAAAACAGGATTGAGAGACTAAGAGAATTCGTTGAAGGGACACATCCCTCAGAAGCCATATGTCTGGGAGATGCTCAGAGAAGAGATGGAGTCAGGGCCAGTCCTTTAAGATGGAGGGCCGTGGGCAAGTGGAAAGGCAACTAGGACAAATTGAAGAGGAATACAGACGAGTGTGTGATGTACTCAAGACACAGTGATTAAAGCAGAAGTTGTCAGGCAGGACAGTAGTGGTAGAAAACACTGGAAGAACTCCTAGGGACAGCTGAGTGCAGGGCCCAGGATAAGGAAGAGCAAAATGCCTTTTCCTAGGGGTAGGGACAGTCATGAAGCATTTGAGCAGATGTAGGGACCCCAAGCCCACAACATCACAAGAACCATTTACTTAGATTGAAATCCAGAGCTCCATTCAAACTATGGAGGGAGACCCGCCCTGCAATTTGGGTCTTTTATTTCCTTAAAATAAATTTAAACAAATAATTTTTATTTCTTCATTAAGAACTACATGGGGGCAGCCCAGGAGGCTCAGTGGTTTAGTGCCACCTTCGGCCCAGGGCGTGATCCTGGAGTCCCAGGGTCGAGTCCCATGTCGGGCTCCCTGCATGGAGCCTGCTTCTCCCTTTGCCTGTGTCTCTGCCTCTTTCTCTCTGTCTCTCATGAATAAATAAAAATCTTTTAAAAAGAAAAAGACCTACATGGGTCCCAATGGCTCATAGTAGGTGGGCACAGTTGCTTACATAATGCTGAGCTCATCACACTTCAGGGAGGCCTTAGTTCAAAATTCCTCGGTTTTCATGAACAAGAATCCCAGACATTAAAGAAAAAAAAAAAAAAGAATCCCAGATACTCATGCAGTCCGGGTGCCAGGCGACGTTCGAAGTGTCCTGCAAACACAGACTCTTGTACCTCACAATAATCCTCTGAGGTTAGCACTGTTCTTATCTTCATTTTCACAAACGAAAGAATTGGCCCAGAGACCTGAGGTCATTTGCTCAAGGCCACAAAGTTGGGATTCAACCGGGCAAGCCATGGCCTTAGCCAAATGTTTTCAGCAGCATCGATTACACTACACTCACCTTCAATCAAATATATTTAGCAATGACTTAAGAGATGGTGGTGTCGAGGCAAGGCAACCCTTTACTCAGCCCTACAGAGGAAGTGAAGGCAATTTGAAAACCTTGCCTCAGGGTATGAAGTTTTGACATATTTTGTATCATGAAACTTTGTTTTCAGCCCTCTCTTGACAACGTCTGTGGGCAGAGTTTTCGTGGAATGATAAAGATGTAGCAAGGGGGAAATTTCTTTAACTTCTATGTTTTACATAAATTACCTGAATATATTTAACAAGTAGAGCGATCCCATCCATCCTCTCTCAACATCCTCTTAATTTGAGCTCTGACTAGAGGAAGGAGTCATTAGTGAACATTACGTGCAGGTGTTTTTGGTGGTATTTACCAAAGAGTCTCCAGTTTCTGCCCATTAAGAGAAACTTTTAACATTAGACTGCCAGAAGAATAATAACATGCACAGCAACAGAAACCATTCGGACGGTTTTATCGTTTGAAGCATATACTGAATTTTGAGACCTTGCAGGGCCCTGGCTTTTGTTCCGCTGAGAAGGCTGGAAGCGCCGGGGAGGTTTTTTGCTGGCAGAGTCACAATCTAAATTGTAGAACCAGCCGTGGCCTCCTAGGTGATGCTCAAAACCACCCCGACATCCCTCTGTCTCTTCAGAGAGCCGAGGAACCCGGGATGGTGTTGCTGTAATTCCAGCTTTGTTTTGCACAGTTCTGCGTAGAAGGGATTTTTCTCATTTATTTTGTAATTTAAGCATGTTAAGTAAGTAAAGGTAGTTTCCGAGCATGAACTTGATTTGGGGGAAATTAATCTCTAAATCGTTATTAGGCACTCACAGAAGAGCCAAAAATAATCCCTTTGTGAGGGTTTCCCTCCATGAGAGAGGATAGGAGGATTGATTCCTTTCCCATTTTGAAATAGAATAATGAGTTACTTTTTTGTTAGTATCTTTGTTAATAATGGTGAGTTTGTTGGATTTTGTGAATATCTTCATCAGTCTGGGCCCACCGAGAAGGTAATCAGGTTGAGGCATGAAATGCACCATTGACTCATTCATTGGCACCTTGATTGTCGCAGGAAGGGTGCTAGATCCAAGGACACAGAGAAAAGTCAGAGATCAAGGTAGCTCCCAGACTAGTGCAGGGAAGAGGAAGCAAAGGCAGGTTCTCTGACAGGTGAGCTCTGAGTGCCACAAGCAGATGTAGCAAGGAGACCTGGGATTCCAGACATCTCCGCTACATTTTGAGGGGGAATAATAGGTAGAAGTGCATCTCATGAAGAACCGGAGAAGGGGATTTTCAGGCAGATGGGGAAGAAACCATGCCTGAAGCCAGGGGATGTGAGGGAACTTCATATTAGGGGAACTGTAAGGACACCCATAGGACAAAGAGATCAGGAAGCGAGGGCTGAGGACGTCCAGAGAAGTCAACAAACCAAGACTATGGAAGTTCTAAGATGATACGCAGAGAAGTATGGATATTATTTTGAGAGTAATGGGAGCCAAAAAAGAATCCTATGCAGGAGAGTGACATGACGACATAAGCTTTACTTAATGGTCACCAGGACAGTGTGAAGCAGTGATCCTCAACCGGGGTGATTTTGCCCACTTGGGGACAGTTGGTCACACCCAGCGGAAAGGGAGTGCTATTGGCATCTCATGGGCAGAGGGCAGCGATGCTGCAAAATAGCCTGCAAGGCACATGACATGCCACCAAAATAAAGAAGTAGCAGTCCCCAAATGTCCATAGTGCCAACGTTGAGAAGCCCTGGTGTGGGGTGCCAATTCATGCCCGCTCCCCACGTTCACACACTAATCCTTGGAACTTGGGACTCTGTTTCCTCACGGGGCCAAAGGGACCCTGCAGATGTGACTAAGGATTGTGGGATGAGGTGAATAGCCTGGATTCTCCAGGTGGGCTCAGTGTAATCACACGCGCTGAGAAGAGGGAAGCAGGAGAGTAGAAGACAGAGAAGGTAATGTGAGCACAGAACTTGTCAATGAAGGAGACGTGATGACACCACGTGATGCCTTTGAAGGTGGAGGAAGGACCCAGGAGCCAAGGAACGTGGGTGGCCTCTAGCAGCCAGAAGGCACAAGGGCAGGGTCTCCCTGAAGCCTCCAAAAGGAGCCAGCCAGCCCAGCTACCACCGTGATGTCAGGCCAGTAAGGCTGATTTGGGACTTGTGACTTCCAGAGTAATTAAAGAATAAATTTGTGTCATGCGGGATCCCTGGGTGGCGCAGTGGTTTGGCGCCTGCCTTTGGTCCAGGGCGCGATCCTGGAGACCCGGGATCGAATCCCACATTGGGCTCCCGGTGCATGGAGCCTGCTTCTCCCTCTGCCTGTGTCTCTGCCTCTCTCTCTCTCTCTGTGACTATCATAAATAAATTTAAAAAAATTTAAAAAAAAATTTGTGTCGTGCTAAGCCACTTAACTTGTAATTTGTTTTAGCGCCAATAGAAATTTAATATATCTGTTTTGGAGGACGGGATAGATGGGCAGCAAATCTTGAGGCAAAATAAACAGTAGGGAGAGGTCAGTATTGCCAGGCACTTATCTGAGCACTGAGGATACAACAGTGATCAAGGCAGGACATGAACAAAATTCCTGCTCTCTTGAAATTTATAAATTAGTGATTTATGAGAGTTCTTATTATACTCCAGAATATAATCCCTTGTGTAATGCTAATTTCCCTTTCCATTCCATGACAGACCAGCTAACTTCTATTTTGAATGGAAAGTTTTATTTTTGATATATTCAAATTTGTCAGTATTTCACATTATGATTCATGCTCCTCCCCCATCCAAGGTCACCTCAGTGTCATAAAATATCTCTATTTTTCTATTAACTTTATTTATAGTTTTCTTGTGATCAATTAATTATCGTTCCCAATTATCCACTCACTTCTTCAAAGCAGCATCATTAACCCTACTCTTGCCATGGGTTCCTAATGGAGGAACAGACTTGGCACCATTGTCAGGACCAGCCATTTAACTACCTTTGCTCAATGGAGTGTGAGTTCTCTTACTTGGTCATAAACTTGTGAATGAGAAATAAAATGTTTCAGTTAAAAATAAACTGAGAC